GGGCCCCGCACAGAGGCAAAGCAGTTGGCTGGCAAGAGAAACAGTCCTTAACTGCCAATGTTCCCCAAAAGCTCCCACATATGCTGGCAAGCCTTCAACCAAAGCACACACACACGTTCCTTTCAGCTGCCTCTGGCTGAAGGCAATTTCAATACAGCCGGAGAAGTATACAATGTCCTCAAGGCCAGACAGATAACAAGAAAACAAAACAGAAACTTAATGAGTCCTTTTAAATCTCAGCTTGCCTGCAGTCTGCAAGGAGAGACTCAGAAATGCAGTCTGCGGTCATAAAGCAGGAAGCCAGCCGGTCCGGTAGTCAAGATGTCCAGGTTAAACAAAGACAAGAGCACAATTCACAACTGTCCCAAGATACTACGTTTGTTCCCGGCAAATGCCCCACCCCACAGTGTCTCCTTAAATCTTAATCCCAGGTGTGCCTTGTGGAGTGGAGCGGGCCGCTCTCCTCCCAAGCAATTGAGCCTGCCTACTTTGTTCTCTCCTCCTCTCTGCTCTCCTTGCTCTAGGATCAGGTGGGGGGCCTTGCTCCTCCTCCTCCTCCTGGGCCTCAACAGGGTCCTGCTCCAGCTCCATGTCCTCCTTGGATTCAGGCTGGGATGGAGGTATGACACTTGTTTACTTCTTGATGGTTGGTCTGATATTAATCTTGATGTTAATCTATCCCAGTGATGGCGAACCTTTTAGAGACTGAGTGCCCAAAAACTGGCCCCGTCCCCGCTCCACCCCCTGCTCTGCCTCCACCCCGCCTGCCCGCAGGGCCACTCACCGCCTCCAGGGCCCGCTGCAGATCGCCCAGGCAGCCCAGCAGCGCCATGGCTGCCACGCCCTCTGACCGTCCCCCGCAGCATCAACTGTGCGCGATGGGGCATGAGGGCAGAGTCTTGTCTACGCTGCCTGGCTGCCATGTCCTTGGCTGTGCTGCTCCACGTGGGCCACACTCGGGGGCGACTCTCCTCCAGGGGGGCTGCTGGTGAGCAGGGGGTCATGGGGGGAGGCAAGGCTGGGGCAACAGCACGTGTGCCCACAGAGAGGGCTCCGAGTGCCACCTCTGGCACCCGTGCCATAGGTTCGCCACCATTGATCTATGCTCATTTGGGTTTTGATTGCTGGTGCTGGTTTATTATAATTGCTATTGCTGAGAAATAAATAGTAAATTAACTTAAAAGAATACAAGAGGAAGGGGCATTCCCCCCCCCTAATTTACACTAAAGAAGTGTTTGGGCTAGCACCAACCTGGCCCACCTGGTTTCTGTGCCCAAAGGGACACTAGAATTTGGAACTCCCCATTCTTAATCTAGCATCTTAAACACTCCACCACACTTCTTATTCTAGGAAACACAACTATATGGTATAAAACAAGCATCAGGTTCCTAAACATCCAGATATTGATGGACTTTACTCTCATCATTCCAAATCAATAACTATGCTGGCCAGAATAGATAGGAACTGGAATTCTCCACTAAACCCCACAACCCCTGTTGCTTTTAAAGGAATTTGGAAGTTGGCAATTCTTATGGATCCCTGCTTGCAAGTCTATGGCCTTATCCAGTGTCTACCTTGTTTATAATCTTGCAACAAAAGCAGCTTTTGCTAGAGGCTTTAATCTATTGCATTGTATATTACAAGGCTTCCACATTATATGTACTGTATATTGTCTCCTTTGTACAATTCCTTAGTGCTTTCTCTACAAGCATTTATTCATTTATACAAAAATTTGTATACTACCCATCCGGGAGACTTGTCAACAATATGACAGTTTACAATAAAAGAATACCATAAAGTCATTCCTAATGAACCAGTTAAAACATCTTGATAAAAAAAACAAAGTGAAAACGAAGTCTAATAAAATTAATGTGTGTCAGAAGAGCAGCCCACAACCTCTTTTACCACTCGTCTGTTCAGTGGATCAAGAGAATCTTATCAGCCTTGATTGGAATTAAATTTATTCCGTATACCCAACAACTTTAAGCAAACTTGGTCAGATGAAAAGCTCTTTCCCGGGAAGTCAAAACTCCGAAAGAGGGCATGAAATTCACTATAATTGCTACAAAGGCAAACAGAATCTTTTCGAAAGACCCCATGTTGCTATACTTCCCTTGCTAACGACTTTTGGATATTTCCTATTAATTGCTTCAAAGAAGTTAGATGACTTCAAAGTGACAAGATTGTAATCATCAAGGGAGTACCTTCAGTCCTTGATATAAGAAAATGAAGAGCTATTTTTTATAATTTTTAAACATTTAAAATCAACTGCAAAAAGTTAGACAAGGTTTTGGCTGTGGAAAGTTTTGAATGGATTAAGAGTTGGGAAAATATTGGAATATTAACGCTTTGAAATAATTTTTAAAGGATAAATGCATATTTGCAGGTAAAAAATGGTAATACAAAGCCAGTTTAATAGACCAGGTTAAAAGGGGATATGTTGTTATTTTGGGTGGTTCTTTTTGGATTTACTATTAACTTGATTGTAAAAATGTGATATGCTGGATTTGTTGACATTCAATACGGTGTTTAAGCTTTTCTCCCTATAGTTATCCTGTGTATCCTATTTTTAAACTATGGGTAATCCTCAACTTACAACCATTAATTTTGTGACCGTTCAAAGCTACAACAGCACTGGAAAAAGTGACTTACAACTGGTAGTCGCACTTACAACCGTCACAGCATCCCCATGGTCATGGGATCAAAATTCAAGTGGTTGACATTTGGCACGTTATTTGTGATGTTGCAAATGGGGGTCATGTGATCACAATTTGTGGCCTTCCCAGTTGTCTTCCGACAAGGAAAGTCAATGGAGGAATCCAGATTAGCTTGACAACCATATTATTAACAACTGCAAGTGATTCCCTTAACAAAAAAGATTATGAAATTGAGTGTGACTCACTTAACAACTGCCTTGCTTAACAACAAAAATCCTGGCCTCAGTTGTGGTTGGGAATCAAGTTATACTGGTATTGTATCCAACTGCCTTTTTACTTAAAGTAAGGAAGTTTGGGGAATCTGTCTTTTTAAAGGAGAAATTATCTCTCTCTTTATTATTTAAAATTCTAGTATTTTGTTTACATCAGGATAATGGGGTTTTCCCATGGGAAGGATTCTTCATAATTAATTCCAAAATCTTATCTCAAATTTATTTGGACCTTTAGTCCTTTGGTTCAATATGACAGTGTTCAAAAAGTTAGACTAGAGCTGAGGTGACCTAGATACAGGGCCATCCCTAGCATGTTGGATATATTTGGGAAATGTGGATTTGTTTAAAGTTGAGATATGGAATATTTATTTGAATGGGATAGGGCATTGGTTGGATATGGGTGATTTCCTTTGGATTTGCTAAGATTTGGAATGGGAAAAAAACAGTGCGTATTGGAGCTTGTCTTTTTAAAAGGAGAAACTGTCTCTTTTTGCCATGTTAAACTTTAAGGGCATTAACCAAGGATATCAGGGACTATTTTATGCCTTTTAAATGGAGTTTTGCTTACAGCTAAGACTTGAGATGTGGAATGCAGAGTTTTATATATGCTAATTAGTGTTAATATTTTAGTGCTCTGCTTGGTCTTTTTGTTGATAATTGGATAAGGGGAAGATGTTACTTATTTAATTTGCCTATTGTTAAAAGATGAATTATAGGATGAATACTTTTATATTTGTTAATTAAGAGGAGGTGAAGAGATTATGAAATTGTTTACTTTCTGAAGGGGGCTATTTTTACTTTTGTTTTTGCTTTCTTGCACTCCTTTTTCCCTTTTTTGTATTGCCTTTTATTTTTGTTTCTAAACTTTTAATAAAACTATTACAACAAAAAAAGAAGATACAAGAAAATTGCATAAACTGGTGCTTTGAGTCATTTATAAAAGTAATAAAATGTGGTATATAAATAAATAAAAATAAAAAATAACATACACATTCACAAAAAGGATTCACTGGAACATCTGTAAAAATGATCATGTATCAGTAATGAAAAATTGGTGGGAATACAGAGTTGAGAAAAATAGTTAAAATGAGCATGTTAAAATATACAAACGCAAACTGATAAAGATTTGGCTCCTAACACACCAGATTTAATTGTGATTAAAAAGAAAAGTGTGGATAATTGATACGGCATTACTAGGGAATAGTCTAAGATAAAGAATTGGAGAAGATCACAAAAAACATGATTTGAAAATTGAAGTTGAAAGATTAGGGCATAAACCAGCCATGGTGGTCCAACTGTGCCACACCCAAAAATAATCTTAGATGGCACTTAGAAAATCTATGCACTGACAAAATTTCCATCTGTCAATTACATCATCAATTACTTGGATGATGTATGCTATGTCAATACATTACCATATTCTAAGTTCTTGGGAAGAACTTAGGCCAACGCCAGCTAAAGATTGGTGGCTGTGATTTCACATTGTTGTGATAATAATAATAATAATAATAATAATAATAATAATAATAATAATAATAATAATAATAATAATAATAATAATAATAATAATAATGCCTACAAGTACTCTACCTGAGGTTTAAATCTTAAGGTGGATCGCCAAATGCTAAAGCCAAACTTGCCTTGACCAATATCAAAACACAATTTTCACTTTTAACTGAAAAGAATCACAAATGAAGGCAAATATATAATGATGCAAAATCGAATTTGGGTCGATCACTGGGAGCAGAGATTATGAAGCTTTCAGACCCATGCTGGAGCCCATCTTCAAAATGAATCATTTTGCTCAGTTGAGGTGTGGTTCTCCACTGGCAATTTGAAATAGCTGCAGCCAAGTGTTAAACAGCAATTTTGTTGACTTTCATTTGCAGTGAACTTGTCTCTGATCCTTCTGAAACATTTTTTCCATTTGCTGGATTGAATAATCACCCAGATACAAGAGTGTATCCAAGAGTGCTTTTTTTTCTTTCCAGAATTTTTTATATTCTTAATTCAAAATGAATGCCTATATTTGACATGTGATACTAACATTATAGGGAGGAAATAAGCAAAACATGCAGCCTTTAATTTCACACTTTTATTTTTATTCATTTGTTTCCTAGCTAACAAAAATTCCCAAGCAATTTTTTCCCAAGGGTCAGTAAGAGTCATCGACACCTCTTTAATTCCATTTTTATCCTACTCTTGGAATGTTCATAGTTTGCGCAATTAACATTGCTTTGTCTTGGAATCAAGACAGAAGAGAGGGTTCCTTAAGGCAGAGAAAAACACTGTTTCAGGAAATGTGTCATATGAATGTAGAGATGCTTTAAAGAAAGGCCTGGAATTGCATGGTTTTGGTCTGTGTACCACTGAAAAGGAAGAAGAGAAACATTATCTTAACTTCTTAAGCAGAATTCAAACAAACATATAAAGTAAAAACTTTATAAGATGGGGTGAGAGAGAGAAAATGGGATTTTAGTCTCTGCATCTCATCTTATGCGCTCACCCTCTAAGGTTGCATGGCAAGACCCTGCTGTTCTATCATGTTTGATTTTTGTTCCAAGAACAAAAGTCAAAAGTTGTGTGATTCATTCATAACAAAAGCCATTTAGGTCCTGAAGGGGCAACAGCAGGGTTACAATGGCAAACATCCAAGCAGAAGAAGCCAATCAGCTGGGATCAGCATTAGGCTTTGTCTTGAAATGAGGTCTTCAAAATTGCGAAATCAGCCCCCATTTACATCCCAAAATTTTTTCTTCTATTTGTGCTTTGACAAGTAGCCTAAACATGCTGGTTTCCTATCAGAGGTAACCTCCTAACCACCCAAAGTTTACAACAATTTTGGTAACTAGGGCACACCTCCCTTTTATACAGAATACAGAATAACAGAGTTGGAAGGGACCCTGGAGGTCTTCTAGTCCAGCCCCTTGCTCAAGCAGGAGACCTATACCATTTCAGACAAATGGTTGTCCAATCACTTCTTTAAAACTTCCAGTGATGAAGCACCCACAACTTCTGAAGGCAAGCTGTTCTACTGGTTAATTGGTCTTACTTTTGGGAAATTTCTCCTTAGTTCTAGGTTGCTTCCCTCCTTGATTAGTTTCCATCCATTGTTTCCTGTCTTGCCTCCTCTCTTATTGGGAAATAAGTTAGCAGACATTTGCATTTTCCCTGGTTCAGCAAAGGCAACAAATAATAAAACAAGCAACAGGTACCAGTAATAAAATAGCCCAAATTGTCCTTTCCAGCGCAGATGAAAAGAACCAGGGAAAGCAAAATCGCATCTGCCTCTTTGACCAACGGGAGAAGAAGCGGTAGGAAAAGCACGGCATTTCGACTTGGGCACACAGCCTTGCCCGCAGGCGCTGCCAAGGACACACAAGCAGCTCTGCACAATTGCCCGGAGAGGGGGGGAGGCTCTGGAGAAGAGCCTGGCAGAGAGCCAAGCGGCGTTACCTCCGGGGCCTCGGAAGCCACGCGGAGGATCCGCACGCCTCGGAGCCGCTGGCCGCCCTCTCGCACCTACCAACCTGGAGCCCTCCATCCTCATCCCGGCACCTCTTGCCCTCTCCCAGCCGCCCCTCCAGGACCTGCCTGCCCCTCCAGCCTCCCAAGCACCATCGCAGCAGCAGGGTCGTGGGAGCCCCTTTCCATGCCACGCAGACCTTCACCACCAAACACTTCCCCAACTCGTCGCATGCGAGAGGGGCATGGCCAGAGCGCCAGCTCCTGCTCGGAAGGCGCCGCTTCTCCCCTCCCGGCCTGGCCGGCTGGCCTCCAACGCACATGTGGGTATCACCGCCACCTCACCCTCTTCCCCGCCGCCTGGCCGCTTCCGAGGCCCGGAGCCCGGCGAGCCAGGAAGAAGCTGCTCCTGCCCGCCAGCCCCAGGGCTGTGCCGGGCGCTGGAGGGCCGAGGCGGCCTCCGACAGCGAGCGAGGCGGGCCGGGCGGCGCGGGAGAGGCTCTGGTGCAGCACAAAGGGCGGCCGGGAGCGGAGCACGGCTGGGCAACCAGGAGGTGTGGGGACCGGCTCGGCGCTGTAGCTCAGCTCAGCTAGCAGCGGCGGCAGCGGCGGAACAGCCCAACGGCAGTGCCAGCAGCAGCCCAGACCCGGCTCGGCTCGGCCCGGCTACCCACACAGCTAAGCCAACCCAGGGCGGCATCGGGGGTGCGTGCAATGGCGCTGCAGCGGCAGGAGCAGGCATTGTCAGAGAAGGGCGCCCTGGAGGAGGAGGAGCCAGCAGAGGAGGAGAAGGAGGGTGGCGGCGGCGGCCGGATAGAGGAGCAGTTTCTCGGTTCCTAAGACCATCGGAAATATGTGTTTTTCGATGGTTTTAGGTGACCCCTGTGAAAGCGTTGTTCGACCCCCAAAAGGGTCGCGACCCACAGGTTGAGAACTGCTGGTCTATGTGGTCATTAAGAGTAGACACTGACTTGATGGTATGTAATCAAAATCAATCAATCCTCCCATTTTCCCCTCAAACGACCAACTCTGTAAAGTAGGCTGAACAGGATGAGAAAAACTTGACCAAAATTAGAGCATCTGTGATTGAGGGTGGATTAAAAACTGAGGACCCCCCATTCCTAATCTAACACTCAACAACTATCCCAAATTATTAGCATGACCCATTAATGCTTGAATGACTTGATCATACCTACCATTGCTTGAAAATCCACTTGTGCATTGACTAAGGCTTTGGAGATCTGTGCCGAGTTTTGAAAATGTACATTATCTGAAATATTAAGCAAGGAAGAAAAGAAATTAAGAAAGTGAATGTGGCTGATTAAAAACAAAAATCCCACCAGTCTGACAAATATCAGAAAGCACGCAAGAGTAGAACATTAGACTCATGTCATGACTTAACAAGCTATATAGCAGGGACGATCAACAATGAGTCAGCAGTGCTCAATGTGCCAGACAGAAAATGAAAATATGTCTTAAATGTATTGACCCTGCTCACAGGAACAGAGAAATGCTTAATGTTTCTTTAACAAAGTGGTTCTCTCTCAGGATTGGTACCAGTTTTTCAAAGACCTCACCATCTGCCGTTCCATGGATGAGAAGGTAATCCACATTATGGAAATTCTGAGCCCTTGCCATCACTGTTGAATTCTGAAAAGGAAAATAATTAACAATTACGGAGTTGCAAAATGCAAAAATGATAGGTACCTTCATTATCAGTTGCCCTATGTTCTTATGACAATAACCTATCAGTCAGCAAAAAGTTTTTCTCTACTTTCTGCTAACCTTAAATCTCAGGCTTTGTGAGTTTTGTTTAAGGAATTATCTGATTCCAACTAGCATCTGATAGTCAGGCTTCTTTTGGATACATGTTTAATGCTATTATGGAACAGCATTAAACTTTTTTTAAAAAAGCAGACTGAAGAACTATGGAGAAACTCAGTAATTGCTGGGTTTTGAAGCAGCAGAGGCATCTCTCTCTCTCTCTCTCTCTCTCTCTCTCTCTCTCTCTCTCTCTCTCTCTCTCTCTCTCTCTCTCTCTCTCTCTCTCTCTGTCACTTCCTTCTGGTCAGCTGCCTTCAGACCAGCCTAGGTCTCTAAGCCAGGGGTCCCCAACCCCCGTTCCTTGGCCAGTACCAGTCCACGGCATGCCAGCAATTGGTTCGCACAAACAAGCAAAGCCCCATCCGCCTGATGCAGGCAGCACACAAAACCACGCCCCCCCTGGTCCATGAAAAAACCTCTCTCCACGGAACCAGTCCCTGGTGCCCAAAAGGTTGGGGACCTCTACTCTAAGCCAACTGCTAGTGGGGTATAGCAGGAGAGTCAAGTTTTCTTCCCTGGATTCCTTCCTGCCCAAAGACAGTGCCTGAGGACCCCAGGGAGCGATTTAGCACCCACCCAGTGGTTGGCCATACCTGACTATAATACCAACCAACAGAATTAGTGAAGTGTGTTAGCTTGCAACAATGGCTTATTGTTGTGGCTTATTGCTGTTGGAACACTGGAACTGCTCAAGGCATTTTAAGCTGTCTCGGGAATAGTTTGGAGATGAGATGAAGGCTATGTTATGAAGGCATGGCTTTTTTGGTTTAAAAGGAGACCTTTAATTTCCTTTGTAAAACTAAGTGTTACCCTCTGTCAACCCCCCCCCCATCCAAATATGGTAGACAAGGCCTCCCAATTACCCTCAAATATCAATTTAAGACAATGTCAGATGGAAGAACCGGCAGAGACAGGAAGAGGGCATCCTACACATTGAGCCAAGGAATAAAAGGCAGGAAAAGGAAAGCTGAAATTAAACTGTAAGAGTATAATTAAAATAGAGGAAGGTTTATGCAGTTCTTACTTTGTAATGCTCAAGATTGTCAGATTTGGTTGGAAGACCCATAAATCGTTCAGTGTAGATAGATGCTGCAATATACAATAAATGTAGCAGTCATGATGCACAGGAACACATTAACACACATAAGAGCAAATGCATTGTAAAGAATGTATTTACATTAATTCATGCTGGGCATTCAGGGGGACGTTTGGGCAGTTTTCTCATAATTTTCCATAAAATGGACAATTAATTTTAAAACTGGCCTCATGCCACAAAACATATCAAAAGAGCCATCACCACATGGGATGGGGGGGGGGGGGACAAGCCTACCATTAGTAGAATGATGAGAGTGCCTCCGGTATCTTATTTTGTGTATTAAGTGCAAAATCACTTTGCACAAAAAGGCCTTCTTATTGAATTCATTCAAAAATATTTTTGTTGGGTTTTTTTGCCAAGGAAGCAGGGAGTTATCAAAACAATGCTGTTTATACCTTAATTTGATGGTTATGTGGAACTACTGTATGTGCTCTTTCTCTGTGATTTTATGCATTTTTTTATTAATTTT